GATAAAATGGTATTTATTTATTTTCAAAGTGTTTACTGGGGAATCTTCTGTGACACTGAAAACTGATCAGACAATATTGTTCTTGTCCTCTTAATTCTAAAGATAAGATAGAAAGATAAAAAACAGCACTAATATCAGTGTCTAAGAATGTTGCATTATCACTCTTTAGATTCTGAAGTGTGCTGAAGTTGACGAATACATCACTTTTTTGCATTATTATTATTATGGAATACTGAAAGAAATCTCCCAGCAACTTAACATTGAATACATTTTTGTATCAATTACTGGAATCTCAACTGTTTTTGCTACTCCGTTCTCACACATCACAAAGGATTTACCTCTTTATTAAAAACAAAAAAATCTGGGCATTTTAGTCTCCCCACCATTTCACTTTTGTGTTAGCATTATAAGCTCAGATTTTACTTCATCATTATGGTTTAACAGTAAGTATTACAGTAACACTGAACCTAGCCTAATACAAACACAGCAGCTTTTTCAAACTCACAAGTCTCTCTTTGGCAGCCTCTTTGAATGACTGTTTCAGGTCTTCAGCTGTTTCTGCATTAGAAATTAAAAACTCAAAGCCCCCATTAGCAGGATTTGGTAAAGCAAAATTATGTTTGCTACAGGAAAACATCAATTACTGCTGGTAGTAAGAGTTGGATCCTATTGAGTATGAGAAGATGTTTAATTGATAAGATCACGCTCAACCAATTCTGTTTAACTGGTCAGGTTCCTCACCACACTAGATCTCTAATGCTATAGCTTTTCATCCAAGTGTGCACTGAGTACACACAGGGACACCTTTCTGTTAAAGGTAGTACAGTCCGAGCACAAGCATGCTGCTAAGGACCCTGGAATGACGTTAAGCAACACCTGAACTATGAACAGCAACCACGCATAAAAAGGACCCATTTCTGAAACACAATCTTCTGTCCCTGGCACCAGCAGGGTACATCACCACCCTATGCAAGAGCTCATGCCAGAATATCTACATTAATTTATTTGTTGATGTGTCATATTTCAATAGAGAATACTTCAATTTCAACAGTTCTCCAGGAGCATGGGAACTTATCATGGCAAGGTTTTGTATCACCCTCTTTTTCTGACTTCTTCAAAGCTGGGAGCCAATCTAAGCCATCTCCCCACGTATTTACCTGACTTTGTAGAAGAAGATGCTAGAGTCTCATTGGCTCAATACATGTTAACATTAAATCAGTCACAAGGACAACAGAGGATTTCTGAAGTCAAGCAAAAGGGTGACAGTATTACCAAGCTATTAAAAAGATCAGATCTTATCATAAAAGTATAAAAACCCACTTTGTCAAATTCCATTTATGGATTGCTGTATTGTTTCCTGCTTATGCCTAAAGAGGCATATAAAAAGATTTCAACAGAGTTGTTAAATATTTAGGTTAAAATCTCTGACTGGTCTGGAAGAAAGTTGAAAAGCCATAAATCAAACAGCTCCTAATTTTAGCAGCAAGTGAAAAACTTTCATAAAGAAACCATATACTGACTGAAACTGTAAAATACAACAACCAGCAAAGACAGACATATATCAATGTGGGGTTTGTGTGCACTGGGGTTGTTTTTTGGTTTTTTGTTGTTTTTTTTTACTGTCAATTTCTTGGGATAAATGACTGAAGAACCACAGGCCCTGTAAACCTACTCAAACTGTCCAATAACAAAGCACTTCTCTGGGCTGCAGCCGCATTATACATGACATCATTTGCTTACAGAAGGCAAATACTTGCCAATTTTAAATAAAACAGGATTCAGTCTGTTGAAAACAGACAGATGTCTACAAGAGTGGCTATTGCTGCGTCTCCACACTAATTCGTAGTGTTATACTAGCACAGGGCAGCTTCACACGGCTTACAAGATCCTGCCAGAAAGAGAGGAAAATGAGACTGCAGTATGCGAATCTCATTAGCTGGGACCGCTTCCTAAAAGGGAATGTTACAAGCTTCAAAGCGCAGCATATTAAGAGGTATGTTTTATTTCAAGTGACTTAACAGGAAATCTCATCACTCCCAGTGCAGTTAAATAGTAGCTCACCTATTGTATCTACTTTCAAGTTTAGTTTGTGTACAGGTTTTCCATCATTCTAATGTTTTGCCACATGCCTGAGTAACTGTTGACTTTGCTGGAAGAGCTGGCATAGCAATCACATACCCCAGAATCTTCAAGAAAGCCCGGCAAGGAACTTGGCTGATACATGCAAGTTCGTGGAGTCATTTTTGAAAAGGCAAATACATCCAACAAGCAAACTGTAACATTACCTTTTAAAGAAGCTTATTAGCAAATTCTTTGTACTTTGAAGTCATAAATCACAGCATGACGACTCCTATTTTTTTCCCAAGATAATCTAAAAAAGTCTTAACATGCTGAGCCAAGATTTATTAAAAAAAATTAAAATCTTAAATACCACACTACAAGCAAAGAAACTTCTACTAGAATACCTCTCCTGACATTTCCATTCATTTCTACAGTTCAGTGGAAAAGTGTTACTGACTTCCTGTGGGGCACAACTTGGAGAAAGTTACTTCCATGACAATCTAATAAAGAAAAACTCCCTTTACTCTTACATCCTCTCCTGTTACTCTGCTAGGAGATGCACTGTACAAATGCACATTTCAATTAAATGTACTGTTAGATAATTTTTATCTCAATATTAACAACTGGAAACCTGTATGGATACTCAAGACTCAGATTTTCTACACAGCACATAGAAAAACACAGGTTGGCATGCCTCCTGACAACTAAAACTAACGCCATTTCAGGAAGAAATTTAGTGTTAAAGTCATCTTGTCTAGAACAAATGCTGTGTAACAGTCTGTCCTGAGGGTCTGAACCTCCTCTGCCCTTCTGGACAAGGCAAGAATCACCAGTAAAACAATATTCATCAAACTGAGATGAGGAGAACAAGTACCCATATTTTCAAGAGAATGGTGCATGAAAACACAAGGTTCAAGCTCCACTGGAAGGCACATCTCTTGAATGGAAACAACAAATACCTGGAACCTTACACAGAAATACCTGGAACCTTACACAGAAATACCTGGAACCTTACACAGAAATACCTGGAACCTTACACAGAAATACCTGCTTTTCCTGCAGTTGCAGAGTAGATAGAACTAAACCTTGTTACAGGAGTTGACCTACAGCCTCAATTTTCTTCAGCTCCACTAAGCAGAAAAACCTAAAAGGAAGACCTCTTAACTCCATATAAACACAGACGATCCACCTTCTAAGTTCTTCTGCCTATTAACTAGCATCTCTAACACAGTTGCACTTTAGTTCTGAGAAGCATTTGTCATGTACGTGAACACACAGAAGGAAGGACCTGGCAATGTGCGTTATTTGAGGTTAGGTTGAAAAGATCTAAAGAACTGAGGCAGTGTTCTGGTGACAGATAACGGATTTGCTTCAGAAACTAGAAGAATTATCTGGAGGTTTAAGAAATGCATTTATTTTGAAGAATACGTGAGATAGGTATTCAAATCCTTTTCACATTAAGACAATATTTAACTTGCTAACATCAGAGATGTACCTCCTCAAAAGCTTATGTTTTTGCAAAGCAGAGATGGCTGTGTTTTACAGAAGAAAAGCATCATCCAAATTTGGAGGACAAAGAGAAATGCTGAAAGACTTTCACTGTCCTTCCATTTCTATGAAAATTAGTGCCTAGATAAAGGGAAAAAAAATCAAGCCATGGAGAAGCAGGCAATTCTCCTCCTCCCTGCAACCATCATACTTTTTTCCGGTAAGTGGCACATTGGAATGCAGTGTGTGGATATCTCTAGACTACTCATAGCACGTACTGCTCCTTGTACACTTCTACTGGGAAAGACACCTGACAGGAAGATAAAGTTACAGGAGATGATGGGACGATGAAATAATAGAAGAGATACTTGAGGGACAAAAGAGACAAACTGCAGAAAACCAGAATAAATTTCTGCAGCTCATACAATAAGTTTGTTCAAGACACTCCTGAAAGAGCTCTACTTTAAATCAGTACTAAACATGGTTCAACACATTCATAGTTATCTACCTTGTGCAGAAAACCTTAGAGATGCTTCCTGTTTTACACACTTAAGCACGATACAGACCACCACTTGTGAAACACTCAAAAGACAACAGAAAGTTTCTGAGTTGCACTCCAACAGAATTTTTTGTCAACTACTTTAATTACTTTTTGAGAGCTAGTGATCGATAACACAGACTACATGTTCACAGCATAAAACATGCACAAAGCCCCAAGCAGTATAAAACACAGACTATTAACTAGTAACATAGATTCTTCTTCAAAACATAATTTATCTCCTAGTCAAACTCTGCAGAGTAACTGCTTCACTGTGTGCTGGTGGCAACAATTACGGAAAGTACAAAAGTAGAAAATACTTTGGGGCTTTCAACTGATGGTTTGCTGGCAAAAAATGAGTGACGACTGAACATGTCGTTCAATAACCATCCCTTTAAAGTTCTATAATTGTTCGCTGGATAAACCCAGAAACTACAAGCTAAAACTAAACTGAGTAATATAATAGAGCTAAAATCAGATTCTCAACCATGCAAGTTGAGAGAGAAGGTATTTGCTACCTCTGGAGCAGAGTGTAATGTTAGCAAGGGAAGAGCTGATGAGGTTGTTAGCCCTTAGAGATCAGAGAGAACTAAGTACCATCCATGAAAGGCTGAGGAACAATGTGGACATTAAGAAAATTGTAGTGTGCCATAAATATTTCAATTTGAAGATTGTTTGGGGTTTCCCCAAAAGCTTTGGGCATGCAAACTGTCCTTCAAGCGTGACATAAACAGTAGCAATCACCCTAACAAAAGGGATGAGGTCCCTACACTAATGTGGCCTCACTTATCTTAGATGACCACAATACAAGGAAATTAGACGTTTCTAACTGCTGCACTCAGTCACAGACTTGATTGTACAGACTAAGTAATAAAAGCACACTACAAGCAGCCAGGGACTTCACAGAGCTTACCTGTTTCTGTGCTGATGCTCCCATATGCACCTGGCAAAACTTGACTGCCTGTTCAAGTGCTACTTCTTCATCCACCTGAACAGAGAATCACAGCTAATGAAGTCATAATTACTGAGCTCATCCATAAATCTAACTGAATTCAGATTAAATGGGGATGTAGAGCATGGGAGTAAATGGGAGAAGCAGCACTTCTATGGCAGAACAGTGATCTTAAGTTATTCAGGAGTATATATTCAAAGATAAACAACTCTCTCTTGATTCAAACTAACATTTAGCATGAACACACCCCTCATAATTGGTATTATAGCTCTTAACTGATTTCAGAAATTTAGTTCCAAAACATGGAGGGTCCCACTTCCCCCCCTCCCCACCCCTCTAGTAGTGGTCTTGTCAAAAGACTTGTCCTTTGGGAGACATTTATCTCCCCAACTTTTGAACAGATATAGGGCCAATTGTATACTGCTTGGTTTGGCAATTATTATCGTTCTATAATCATGTCTGAGGCCATTTACAGAAGTTACAATTAATGATAAAATACTTTACCTGTTTAATCAGCATGTACGTTTCAGACATGATCTTCTCAATTTTACCCAGGTCATAGGCCATAACTTTCTGACCTTGCTGCCATACCCGATAAGCATCGAGTAGAAGTGTTTTCCCAGACTCCACATCCTCAAGTAATTTCCTCTTCCTGCTTGATCTCTGGACAGGTTCTTCAGCAGGTACTGCTTGAACTATTCCTTTAGTTGCCTGCTGATGATGTTTTGAGCTGATACTTAGCTCTTCCAAAGAAAGTTCTGGAGTCCGGCTGTCTGGAGCTCTCTCCTTTGAGTTCCTGCCAGACTGAAGACGGTCTAGCTCGCTACGTTTACAAGAAGAATCAATTTTTTCAGGGTCATTGCAATATCCATCAAGATCCATAGGCTCAACTGAACCAGGCCTAAGGAGCTCTTTAATTTCCTTGTCATTCTTGTCCTCTTGTTCCAATATGTCCATAGCATTGGGAATTTGTCCCTGGGTCACTTCCTTTACTCCATTTTCAGTACTATGTACTACTCCATCCGATAAAACTGGCTTTTTGGGAAGGACATCTTTCCCCTCTTCAGCACTAGTTTTATTAGAAACATCTGTTGTCATCCTTCCTGAAGCAAGGTTAGAAGACTTGGAACTCTGATCTTCTGAACCCTTAATAAAAGAAGTCATTCTTCTCTGTTACTATTGAAATCAGGAAGCATTTGAGCACAGCCATGACTACCATGAATACTGACAATGAGTACCTTTACATTACTGCCTCTGCTGAAGAAAATGCATTTATTCCACGTTCATTCTTGTTTGTTCCCAAACATTAATTAATCCAAACCACAAGTCCAACAATTAAAGTATTTTAATCAGTGAAAACACCACAGAGAAATCAACAGCGCAGGCTGAACCAAAGCTGCAATGTTTTTTTCCCCCCATTACTTCAGTCTATAACTATGGGAGCCAACTAAATGAAATCCAAGGTTTCAATAGCACAAAGTTTTTTTTCTAATGTATTGAAATCAAAACTGAACCTGTTTCTTTTGGCAGCTGTGGATCAATCTCAAATTTAAGAATCTTCCCTTTGGTTGCTCTTACATAACTTCTTGTTAGTAGATCAAGAAGTATGCTAAACTCTGCTACAGTATTTTCATTTTTGTACCTTTATTTTGGTGATGGTCCAAAGGTAGAAAATGTCAGTACATCATGTCTTCTTTCAAAGACTGCTAATGATACAACTCTTTAATCTGGATTTACAGACTAACTATTTCATACACAGAGTTCCAGTGTTCTTAAGAATGTTTTCATTTAATTGTTAAGCCTATACTCTGTTAACTTAGAAAACCCCTAGGAACAAGTTCTTTCACAAATGTGTTTACCAAATAAACTTCTGATTTCCAGTTATCTTAACCTGGAAACTGATTAGTCTCTAAATGACTTTTAAAAATTAAATCTAAACTACAATTAAGTGTAATAGCAGGTGTGGTGCTGTCAAGGACTAGCAGTTAAGAATGTCTAGGCATATAATATCTAGTTGTCTGGTTTTGTTTTGCAAGAGGAATCTTAGTTCATTTTAAAAGGAAATTTCCAATAGACCCCATCTGAAATTGTAGTTGTTCTTATAGTCCATGTAACTACCATCATTTGAAATTCAAGGGACAGTCAAACCACACACCGCAATCTGTTCTGAACAACTGTATTTGTTACTAGATTGCAAGAATGAAATCAACAATGCTGGAAGAAATGTTTCTGTGTAGCTGCATATAAACAAAAGGTACTGGAAATAAGTGATAATAATGTAGCCCTTCAGTCTCAGGAGACCTAAGGAATGAGTAAACTGAACCTAGAAAAATCTAATTACTAAATCAGCGACCATTAAACACACTGCTTCCTTACCTGCGTCAGATCGTTGAGAGTGTCCTCCAACACTTTCACTGTAAGCACGAAGGCTTGTTGGGCCAGAACCTGGCGATCTGCATCACGCAAGTACTTCCTGTGCCGCAGTAAGATAACAGAAATGAAGCTAAGTTCCAAAAGCTTATAGAACTTTAAAAGCAAGAATCAAGACATTAAAAAACCCCAACCAACAAAAAAATCCAACACAACAATTTTAAAACAAGTTAGAAGAAAGCAAACAAAAACAGATACAGTTGCATACTGAAATATAACACTTTAGCTGTGTTTCCTTTTACCTCTCCCCTGCCCACAATCATCAAACATGACATGCATGAAACAAAAGATAGCACTATCTACCAACAGAGGGGAGGGGAGAAATGAAAAAAACCCAACAAACCCAGAGCAAAACAGACAACCAGAATTAGTTTTCTCATATCAAGCCTTCTGTGCCCCTCAAATATCAGCTTTTTATTCAAACCTTTTCTTGAAAAAGAGTATTAGTCACACAAAGCTATCTTGAACTGTCAGGTGATTTTCATGTTCTGGATAAACCGTGCATGTGAGATTAAGGACATCAGCAAATCCTTTCTCATTGGTCATATCAGTTTCCTTTAAGTCTAGGGTTTTTAAAGCTAAAACACTGGTGTGCTAATACCTTTTTTACTATTTAGTATTATTAAGAAAAACCTCTATGTGTAAAACTTATTTTCTCTATAGCTTTATTTAATTTACTAGAGCACTATAACTTCAGTGTATTCTGACACAATGCTTCAGTCTACTTTCAAGGAAAATATTTCCAGCCATCAATCCCACCTGAGTTTGATGGAAAAATGAATTTCTATTTCAGAATTGGCTGGTTTTAATGAGAGGGCTAAAAATCAAGTAAACAATTTTGAAGGGTACTGTTTCAGTGAAAAAGCCAACATTTTTAATAAACATATTTTCTCTCTACAGTATTACATTACGTTGGTAATTTTGTGGTTTGCTTTTCAGACAAAAGATACAAAAACCTGACTCCTCATTAGTTCAGTAATAACTAAAGTTCAGCTAAAAACCCTGCATTTTTAAAACCAGGGTTGTAACAGGCATATACCAGACACACCCAGAATATTTGCATTTATAAATTCCTGTAACAACTGCAGTTCACCATGGCTGGCACTGGCTGATCCAACATGTCGTATTACTTGTTTGTTAAATTCAGTCTAGACTTATAAATAACGTAATATTTTTAGTACAACTGAAGGCTTGCTTAGGACAGAATTTAAACCTTCTATGGTCCAGTACTGTCTGATATGCTAAAAGTCAAAGTATTTTTGGCTTCAAGTTTGCTGAACATGTGGTGACATATTCCCAGACATACTACGATTTATGCAAATTCACGTGCACTCACACTCAAAAACACATGAAGAAACCTTCAATGCCTCCAACTTATCACCATCAATCATTCAGTTCAATTTCTCAAGCATTTGCCAGAGACTAATTTCAACATTTCCCACTCGGCAAGCTACTAGAATTTTACCTCAATTGCTTCAATGTTTTCCTTAGATGTTTATTTTGGTCTTCCCATTGATATGAATCTGTATATAGCTCATGTTAAATGGCTTCTTTTTTCTTAAATAAGGTTAATGCAATTAAAATTAGATCACCCCTGAATAGGATAAGCTTTTTAAATAGCATCAGCTGCCAATAGGCACATAACCATTGTTCAGTCCATCAAGGATTACAGGAAGGCAGGATGCCTGGGCCGTGACCTCCCTCCCTGAGCACTGCTCTTATGCAAGAGGCCAGCAGAAGGGTGCAGAAGTCATGATGCTCTGTTCTATCAGTGAACCCCTCCACCTGACAGAAAACCTCTGCAAGTCTGTTAAGGCAGCTGTATGGCTGCTCTCAGTTTCAAGAGAAATGCAGAGAAATTCTAGACTCTATTATGGAATCCTGATCCTGGGAAAAATTAACCATCATTCCATTATATTCCCGAAATCTGTCTAAAGACTTTTTTCTTAAGCTAAGAACATCTTTAAATAAAATAGTTACACAGTGAACAAAATATATTCAAAGCTTTACAAAGTAATGGATTAAAATAAATATATCATACTTTCCCTGATCAGGGGTCCTCTGTAGCATAGATGATACTTTTAGCAAGGTGTTGTAATCCTTTAGTTGTGACAGCACGTTCAGCAGCAAGACAATCGAGCGGGTCCTCTGA